TTTCGCAAGGCTATATTATCCGCATTTTACAACATTTCGCAACGAAACTTTGGAATATTACTAATTTTGTGATGCTCTTTCAAGCTGTGATGAAATTTTTGTCTAGACCAAAATTTAGTCTATAATGCAAATGGTCCATTGGCAACAGCAGTTGCGGTTACCCAGCCTGAGGCGAAGCTAATAAATTGCAAATTGTAAGGTGAGATCTCACCTATATATAGCCGGGTTAGCTCGTTTCTTATATATGAACACAAATAAAATTTTGTACTTATAAATTTTGTATTTATCTCACTCAGGTAACTCAGCTCATATGAACAGGTTCTATTGCTGTGCGCCGGGAGGGCCGGTGTTTTGGCCTATTTTGCAGGAGTCGGAGTTTGTTCAACTCCGGCAGCACTTATTTGTGCTGCAAACTACTGTCGGACACCGGCGAAAAAACCTGAATCCATCGACGAAAATGTAAATACTCGCATTGATACTGCATAGGCTTGCCACAAACATAGTACGAAATGTTCATGCGAAGTGTTAAAATCAAAAACAAAGATAGTGCTTCCACTTTGAAATGCGAAATTTCCATTAAATTTCGAATTTTCACGATTTTGCCGGAGCTGGAAATTTTGTGCTGGAGCCGGTCGTTTTTTTGGCCGAAGGTGAAAAACCCGAAGTTTGCACAGCACTAACAGGTTCATATGGGCTCATATAAACAGGTTCTTAAATCCTAGCAAAAACCCTGGCTCGCTGAATGGGTGAAGTAATCCCAGTTTGTAAATCTACTTTTTAAAGGGTTTTAAAAGAGCGCAAGAAACTACAGTGGCTTCTCCATCAAGTCATCACTTCACGTCACTTCATCAAACTAAATCAAGCAATCACAAGGAGGACACTAAGAACAATAATACTGTACAAACGGTCTCAAGAACGAAACAAACTAATCAAGAACAACAGAAGAAGATGCAACAAGGAGCCGACTATATCACGGCATTTAAGCTCGGCAAAGACATTTCTCGCGCGTCCACTAGTACCTCGAGCACTAAGAGGCTAAGAGAAGATAGGAGAACACAGCTCTCTACAAGTAGGCATGACAATGATGAGAAACTCACACCTGAGCGTGACGGCTCGTTAGCTATGCAAGAACCAGTGTTTCTTCCACCAATTAAGTAGGGTGGAATGTTTGGAATGTTTATTTGTAGCAACGTCAGCTGGGCTGATATGTCATATATATTGTATATAGTATGTGTGCAGTTGTATGTACTGAAATATGGATGTTATTGTGCGTATAATATGAAAATTATTGCATTCTTTGCTAGTCTGCCACAAATTAACTGGCAAATTATAATATAGAAGTTTCAAAATCTACGGAATATATCATTGGACTTATGAAATTAATTTTGTAGGTTTAAACGACTGTTTATGACCCATTAACTCTTTCGACACACACTTGTTTAATAAGATAGAACGACTTAAGTTAAGATATTATTTAAAAAATACTATTTGCAAAATAATGTCCAATTTTATTTGTAAATAGTATTTTCTTTAGTTCTTTTTATCTTATTAAACTAGAGAGTGTGGCATTTTAGCTTTTAGCCCACTGAGTAGCAGCACTCTCCCCTTGACAAGTAAAATCAACTGGCATTATAGGGACGGACCATTAGAAAATTTTTTTTAAGAGGCAATATATATATATATATATATATATATATATATATATATATATATATATATATATATATATATATATATATATATATATATATATATATATTTTGTACACCTATAGAAGAATTTTTTTTTCTCACTTGATGGCTGGAAATATTTTTTTAAGTGAAATTTATAGGCTTATCTTCCAAGCTAGGAATTTTTTTGCACTATGCCTGGGAAGGTTTTTTTCCTAATTTTTTTCTGGAACTAAATTTGGTTTTTTCTTTTCTGGAACTGGTTTTTGGTTTTTTCTGGAACTAAATTTTTGGTTTTGCCGTATCCCCC